TTTTTTCGCCTGACCCCATCAGTGCCGACCCAACTACACCACCACGCGCATGCCTCGCGGCGGATATGCGCAGCAGCAAGAAGGTTTCGGTCATCCCTTGAGGGTGAGTCTAGCCCTGCTCGCCAGAAAGACCCCCCCCTTCACTACAACCCATGTCTAAGCAAAAGCTTGTCGAGGAGCGAGGGGAAGAAGGGAGATTTCTTGCTATGCTCACAACATATACCCCACTCTGGTGTTTGATTGGCAATTGCTCCGTGGACCGTCGTCTTCATTTGCGGTTCTTTCCTTGCATGCCGTCTTCCACCTCGTCCATATAGATGCCGTAGAGATATGCACACGTTCCAGCGACGCTGGCGCATCCACCTGGTCATGTCCGAAGAAATCAATACAAAAACACCCGTTCACGCCCAAAGGAAACGACAATACAGCACCCGTCACATCCAAAGGTAACAACAAACAGTAGCTACACGAGCCCCACCGTGTCCACATCGAGGGAGTAAGCAGATAACATCTTCTTCAGGTCCAATGAGACAAAACACACCCCGATTAGCCATGTCTGCCCCATATCCCTATGCGCCGCCAGGGTTTGGCATAGCAACTGTTGTCCGCCCCGATGGCGATACAGAGAAGCTCGATGTATTATTTAGCAGTGCTGGATATCGACCATTGCTCTTTGCATCGACACGTGCCTTGTTTTACATCCGTACCGTAAGACCTAAATAAATCACGCTCCCTCGGGGTCAGGTCACCCCTCCCAAGACATCCAGCCGATGCCATCATCGCCCACGCCATCACTTCTAGACCTCTACGTGGTCAGCGCTCAACAGGCGATCGTCGCTCGCCGCGACCCTGGCTGCCGCGGCCCTCGATCCGAGCAGCGGTGCCTGGAGCGAGGCGAGCGCCGCCGGGCTTCGTAACTCCGAGGACGCTTCCCCCGCGCCCTCCAAGGTCGAGAGAGACCCGTAGCCCGCGCGCCTTCTTCGTGTCTCCGGGTCAGGGGGGCTGAGGGGAGACGAGCAAGCAGGACACATGGGGTACGGCGCCGGGGGTGGGGACGACGACGTATTTAGAGGTTACAAGGCCACTTCACTCGAGGTTCGGTTGGTTGTCCGTAGTGTGGAATCACCGGGAAACACAGGGGGTGTGAGTTCGTGAGGGAATGCATCGGTTGTTCACGTGAGCCGTTCCACAGTACGCAACGGCGCGGAAGGATTCCGTGGCACAGACGCCGCGCAAAAGGAGAAGCCCAGCGTGCATCGCGCTGCAACCCATTTACCCGCGGATTCGAGGAGGCCAAAGACTTGGCCGCCAGAGAGCGGCGCTCCAGGCCTTCTTTTTCCCTCCTTGTCAGGGGACGACCCTCGGTGTTGCCGATCAGGTCGTCGAGTTGGAACCAGCCGTTCGCGTTCCGGTCCGATGCCGCGAGCGCCGCCGCATCAGCCGCGGCGTTGGCAGACACTATCACCGACCCCTCCGCCGCCGCGCCGTCTTCCAGTCCGAGCGTGTGCTCCTCGTCGTTCAACACCCTCTCGGAGTACTCGGCCTCTTTCCTAGCCTCGGCCGCCGTCTTTCCCGCCGACCCGTCCTCCGCCACCCCCGCTGCCGGCAAGGGCGAAGGCATCCTCTGCTCCCCAAGGCTGCTATCGTTGTCTCTGACCACGAAGCCTCCACCTCCGACGGCGGCGGCGCCGGACTTGTGTCGTGCTTCCGGGAAAGGCGTTACGGTCGCGTCCCCTCCTCCTTTGACCACAATAACGCCTCGAGACACGGAGCGACCGACGGAGTCAGCGGCTCCTTCCCGGGTCGTTCCACGCTTGCGCCGCCGCGACGCCTCTACCGCACTTTCGCGCGGACTGTTTTTTTTTGTTGTTGTACATGGAGAACACGCGCCGGTTCTTGTATCTTTCAGATGTCGCAAGAACAACAATGGTAGTTTGCGACGACCACCTCCGGTCCACACACCCTCTCTTCCTCACTTTCCAGTGCAACAAGTTATATCAGGCAAAGAGGAACACGATTCTCAAACAAGGTCAACAACGCATTCGCGAACTACTCAATTGTTTGTCTTCTGCTGGAATTCACCTGCAATCGCTGGGTTCTACCGAAGGAGACGTGAGCGCCAGCTGCGCGTACAGCAGAGGCTCGAACTCGTCAGGGTTAACCCCGTCTTCCTCGTCGTCCTTCTCATCGTCGCCAGCTCTATCCTGTCTGCCGCTGTCCTGCCAGTGCTTCTTCCTACGGCCCTCGGCGGCCGCCTTGACCGCCGCGGCCATGGCCGACGCTCCTCGCCTGTCGATCCTCGCAGCGGTCTCCATAGAGATGCTCTCAGCGGGGCCGAGATACCTGGAGAGGACGGCGGGGCGGGTGTAACGCATGCCGAGGTCGTTAGGCCATTGACCTCGCATCCCTACAATGCCGGGCTTTCGCTGGCCCAGGCTAAGTGTTGACAAGGATGAACCAGGGAGGAGTATTGCTGGCATGACGGACCCCTGAGCCTAGGGTTGTGTAAAAGATAGGCAAACCCACATCATGACATACAAGTTTGCGACGCTGCTACTGAACACATCGGCACTGGCCCTGGTTAAAAAACATCGAGAAGCTCCTGGTTGGGAGAACAGCAGTGTAGCCTGATAGCCCGCCTGCGTGCCTCATGCCGTCAAACTGCTGTGTCACGACATCAACAAAGTGCACTCGTGACACTCATGGGAGGAAGGTTTGCCGCTGTTTCGTAACAACAGCGCCTTCAGGGCCATGAATGTTCTCAAGGTGGTTGAGAGCACCGTACCCGGGGTTGTATTGCCGGGTGGATAGCAGCGGCCGTACTGTCAGCAACGATTAAGGCAAAGTCACCAAACGGTACCCTGCAGAACAGGCTTTCGAACAGGGGGTTGGCGTGCTCTATCCTGTTCCTCTCACCTTTTGAAGCTCCTGTAGCCGTACCAGTAAATGAACACTGGCAGCGGTAAGATCAGCGAGGCTTGAGTGAACCCCGCTCGGACGTAGACGTACCCCGCTAGCGTAAGCTGAGCAAGTGCCAGTCCAATGAGCACTCGCGGGTAAACGCTGCGGGACAAGTTGCGTCGGGAAAAAAGGGTGGCGACAACACATTGTACACTCAACGCCACACGTACAGCAATACCGAGCGAATTTGGTGTGTGTCCAAAGTCGAAGGGCTGGTCGGCTCACAGCGCAAGTGTGTAGCGTAGCTGACATTAAGATACCACACCGGGTGGACCGATTTTCGAAGGTCGATTACTCCGCGACGAAGAGGATTCTGAATCAAACTAAGCATTTTCGGAAAGCTCCTGCATGAGACGGTTCCAACGCCTTCCTTCAAGGCCCCGCCACTATTTATGCTCCAAAGAAATTTGGCTGTGATACTCAATTCGGGGGGTGTTGTACTATGCGCAACCTACGGCACACGCCTCGCGCCGTAGGCACACGTCACGCACACGCGTGTGCGAAGACTGCGCGAACGCGAACGAAGGCTGGTGCGATACCAAAAGACGCAAAAAGGTTGTTTGCCCGGAAGCAACGCCAATCAGAACGTCGGTGTGGGTTAGGACTGTGACTGAACGAGAGAAGACCTTAGGAGGGATAAAACAACTACAGCTGTGTGCGAGCGATACATCCTTTCGACAGCGCTGCCAAGAGTGCCGGGAAAAGGGACGAGGCTCGAGCCCGCACAAGATCGACACCTCAACAGAGACTATACACCACCACACGCCAACACACGGTAGAACATGTGCGGTAGCTGCATGAACAGCCCCTTTTCGTCAACACGCCAGCGCATGACCGAAGTCTCGAACCTCCCTGGCAAAACGGGTAACTTTTCTGCGAGGCACCGTTAGGTACGCGGGTAAGCAACACGGCTCGCCGTGACCATGACCATCATCACCACCAAATGTTGATCGCGGTAAGAAAAAGACAAAAAGGCTGGGCATACATACAACATTGGCATCGATCGGGAATTTTACGCAGGTCCAAAAATGCATTAAATAGTCAACAACAACCTTGCTTGTCTACGTCACGCATCGGAATGCAAGCGTGAAATGCACCAGGAGCTTCCACCAAGCGCGACACAGACCTGAACCAGAAGACTCCGCCGCTCTCGTACTTGGGGACGTACACGTAAAGGGCCTGCCAGGCAGAGCGACCAAAGGAGGCCATGACCAGGGGCGCGGGGGGAGGGAGGAGGTGGACGTCACACAAAACAAATCACTTGACCAGCTAGACATCACATATCAACAAATATAAAGACGGCCACGGAACAACTTTTGTGCTCGCGTCTCAAGGATTGGGCTCGAACACAAATGATCGCCGGCCTCGAACTGGAGCAACCGCAACAGGAGATATTGCCACCCCCAACTCTACCGCCGTTCTTCTCAACCGATTCTCCGTGCCGGGCCGTCTTTCTTTTGAGTTCCGGTCGGTGGTAGAACGAAGCTGGGGAAAAACAAGGGCATCTGGTCGGCGCGACGAGCATAACACGCCCGCGCGTACACACAGCACGTTGCGATCTTCTTTCGACTTGAACACAGTGGTGATGTTGGTTATATTGGTCCATACTAAATGTTGGACGTACCCTGCAACACGAAAAAAATGGATCTGTTCATTCTTCTCGTCCCCCACCGCCTTGTGATTACCGGGTCCGTGGAGTCAAACGTACCTGGTACTTGTAGACAAGGTAAGCCAAGGCGAAGAAAAGAGCGCCCGCGGGCATGATGAAGGGGCTGATCACAGCATAGACGAAGCAGACCACCAGCACCAGGAGGAGGGTCGGATACACCTGAAGTGCGGTCGAATTCAGGAAATAATGGTTATCATAAACGAAGCCGACCAAAACATGTTTTAATCTAAACGATATTTTGGTGTTCACGCATGAGGGGTGAGTGGACTGTGCCGGCAAAAACGTGGCTCGAGAGCGGGGGGGGCAAGCTGAAACAGAGATAAGAGAGCAATATTGAGGGCAGCGGTAGCACGTGATTGGTCGTCAAGGTATGGAGATTGCAAACGAATCGCAACCCAGGAGGTGCCAAGACTGGAGGCAAACGCGGCAACAAAAAAATACCATATAGGGACAAAGAACCGGGGGGGGCACTGCCAGGCTCTCAATGGCGGTATATGGGAGCGGGAACACGCCCAACCACCCTACAGCTTACGGGGGGGATTGATGAAAGCCAGGTTCCGTGGGAATCGAAATCCGACAAGAAAGACGCCAAACGGACGGCAAAGGACCCATGACAGCGAAAACCGGTAGGTATCATCCGATGGGTGCGGCGGACGCGCACACGGAATATCTGTGCGTCCGGGTCGCTCCAAAACGTCCCAACATGAACCTTCGGCCGGTAAATACATTCATGATCGAACCATAAAGCTGTCAAGATCTTACCCATCCATACAAGAGCTCCGCCGGGCCGAAGGGACCAGTTCTGCGAGGCACGATCAACAATCGACAACACGAGGATGCTCAGACGCGGGTGGATGGCATGACTGGGTTAAAATCGGACAGGTATTCGGCACTTCGAGGCCACGTAGGACTCCTACGAGCGCCCGCAATGGCGACGGGTAGGTGTGTGCGTGTTCGAAAAAAATACAACTACTTTTTCGTCTCACTTGCAGTTGGCATCCTTTCACCGCGAATCAAGCAATCCTCGCACAAGAGTTCCGCAGGCAACGCGCGGCGGTTTCACGGCCGTGGCGCAGCACGATGCTTCCCATCAACAACAAACAACATCGACAGTGAGCATCTTCCACGGGCCAAGACTTCCAATGACTGTGTATTCGGGTCGCTCCCTTGACTTGCATACCGCTCTCATGCGGATGACGCAGGGTACATTAGTTTCGACGTGTGACTTTCTTCATCACGCTCGGGCCGTTGCCCAGGGCCATCGGGGTGTGTCGTGCTAGCGGGTTCACGGTCTACTCTCGGCGGGTCCGTTTGGGGTAAATCCCAACGTGAAAAACGCATGCTGCTGGGAGCATTTCCTGTTGTTTTCGCTCTCGCTTCGGTCTGTATGCCCTGCACTACGGGGGGTAGACGCGTGTTGCCAAGCGACTCTCCTTCACCACATGAGACAACCCAACACACGTATTATTATAGTGATCCCCCCTCCATCTGGAAAATCGTTAAAAGCGTCTTCAAGTACCGTTGCTTGGTATTTCTTTGGTCTCCACCGGATGCTTGTGCGCGGACCGGAAGATTCCAAAACGCGTCAAAACCACTACTGGCAAGATTTAACCGTCCCAATTTTGGATTACTGTTCATACATATATATATATCGGATCTTGTGTGATTGCGTCGAGTTACCTTACCTGATCTCTCTCTCCGTGGCAAAGTCCCGGTTGGTGCATCGTTGCGACCACAGCACCCGAATCAGAGGCCACCCTCGAAGGAGCTGCGAAATAAAAAACAACAACGTGAACGACATCAACCCAAGGGGGAAGGCAAGGGTCATGCATCCACGAGAGAATGAAGTACGAAATCTCAGGTGGTCTGATGATACATACCGTATATGACACAAGATAACACACCCCCTGGGCCGATTTTCAAAGCTCGATTACTCCACGACGAAGAGGATGCATAAACGAAACGATACACTTTCGAAAAGCTCTCGACGAGACAGTTTCAACGCGGCCTTTTTCGGCGCTGTGACTGTTCCTGCAATTGAGAAATCGAGCTTCGAAAATTGGTCAAGGGGGTGTGTTATCTTGTGTCACATACGGTATGTATACCGTCCTTGTGCCGGCTATGTTCAAAGCCTGTCGACCAGATTTGTCCCGTTCGAAGCGAACCAGGTCGACCCGTCAAAAGAACATGTTTTCTGGTTCACACCGCGGTTCGCCAACTCTACGTTCCCGTTGGACCGGGCAAACCCGCAAAAAAAAAAAGCTGTTTTGGCCCAAAGGGCGCTTTGCCGGCACTAGTAAATCGGATAGAAATTTTGTCCCCTGCATTCCTCTCGGGCATATGCGTCTGCTTTCGAAATAAACGCCTCTGCTGCCGACCCCCGCTTTCAGCGACACAACTCTACGTGAAAAATAAGAGGCAAGAGGACGCTGCCCCCCCCCCCTTATCTCCGCGTCCAAAGAACAAGAAAAAAAGAACGGCTTCCCACTTAGCACGAGAACAAATACAGCAGTAGTAATCGCACGCAGTCCAAACAGGTATCAGGGATGGAACACAGGAAAAAAAAAAAAAATGCATGGGGTGTTGATGCACGCCGGCCTGTCTTTCATGGATGCCCCACAACATCGGAGGAGCGAAGTTTGCGGCGGCGCACGGCGGAACAATTCAACTGCCAGTCGCATCGGAACGTTCCCTGGCTGGTGCCTTCCAACTCGCCCCTTGTCACCTCAAACGGTAGCCCGACGAAAAGCTTGACGATGATTACATCCAAGAAGTACACCGCCACCGCGGGGAAAGTCTCGCCGAGGATGCTCAGCACCTGGTTTACAGACGAGATCGATTGGGTTGGCTATTAATGCTCAGATGGTGGGGTTTTGTCGTTGTTAACCTTGGGTTTTGTTTGTTTTTGTTTTTCTCCCATCATTGGACTCTGTCGTCTGCCCCTCTGGCCCCTATCCTCCACTTCTACTAGCTAGACGACCCAACCGGGGTCACATAGGAGGGGGGGGTTGGACCCCCTCCTGCGGTTCATGCCTGATGTATTTTTATCGCGAGAAGGGTACAGCAATCCCTTCCCTCGCGACTTACGAAGTCGATTATGGTTTACTAACAAACGAGCTTTGCAGCGCGTCGCTTTCATCCTAAACCAGGATTTATTTAGTGAGAAAAAACTCTCTCTGTCGGGACTCGAACCCATGACCTGGCCCTTAGGCTGCGAGGCTACCCACTAGACCACCGGGGCGTTGGGCAATTAATTGGGGATTGCTTGTCCTCTGCTTGTGTCATTCGGGGTTTCATATCCCGCAAACATGCCAGGTTTCCCCCCCTCTTCAAAGGCTATCTAACCCAATGCAAAAGTAACATGTCCTTGGCAACAAACACGCGGAGAAGTTGTAGACACGGAGTGTGTCCAACTTCTAGCCCGCCCAACCAATCGATTTGTCGGGGTTTGGTGGATGCACAAGGGGTTTCGTGACGTCAAAGCAGAGGACTCTCACCGAGGTGGGGTCGTCGAGGATCTCCTGGAGGGCCGAGATGATGGATCCGGATGCTACGGTAACGTAGATGTTCGCAACCTGTTCATCGGCGACAAATGCACAACACACAAAACGACCAAAGGCGCGAGAGGTCAGCTATTTAGACGCTCGCGGTAAAACGTAGAAGGAATGGGACGGAAAGGAGTTGTTCCAAACCTTTTTTGTGTTTTAACCGACAAATAACACAAGAGACGAGCGTGACCACCGGTTAAGGGTTGGGAGGTAGGAGACTAAGAAAGCAACCCTGCTGCGGCGTGTCCGCGGACGAATTGAACAACAACAGATGTCCGCTCGACATGCGCACGGACGGCCTGGACAACTCCTCTTTTCGCTCTCGAGGCTGACTCGGACAACAACAATAACAACAAAAAAGGGGATAAAACAACTCTTCCACGAACGAAAAACGAATCCGATTCGATAGATGCCACTTGCGACAGCGGCGGCGGAGGCTGAACCCGTCCATGTGTTATACCTGGTACGTGAAGTAGCGCGTCAGAATCGACTGCTGCACCTCGCTGTGAGACTTGCGGCGCTCGTAACGGTAGGCCAAGGCCTGCTCCCGAAAAAGATATGGCGCCAAGGGGTGGCGGCATGCGGACGGTAAATCGTAAGAAGGTAGTAATGGGGTTGGCTTGGCGTCAAGTTGGGGACGACGACGACCATGCGAAAGGCAGTTCCTGAGCTTGAGTCCTACTTAAACTGCTCACGTTCGGCGCAGCACGTCACCAACCTGGGCTCTACTGTGAAGCTGGCGACCACTCACGTGCTAGTAGTGAACAATGAGGTCAGAACACGAGCTTCTTTTTGAGAAGCGGTACGGGGAAGGCGGTGTGCTGATGGGGGGGGGGGGNNNGGGGGGGGGGGGTACTCGTAGCCGTGCATGCCGTACAGTCAGAAGACCATAGGGGGGGGGTGAATTTCGTAGGGACATATGGCCGGAAGGATAAGTGCGCCGATGGGCAGCCGAATCGGTGGCTTTCCCCCGCGGAAGCAACGCCAACAAAGAGCAGGCAGTAACGACAAACAACACTTATCTACCCGATTTTCATTTCGTGAACCCCGACGGCGTTCCGTACCCAGCGGTCACCTGGAAAAGGAACGGTAGCAAGAGCATCAGCAGCAGCAGTAGGACGACCGGAAGATAGCCCGCAATCACGTAGTACAGAAAGCTGCCTCGGCATGAACGGACAGAAAAAGACAAATCACATGCGCGTGCGCGACAGCGAGGATGAGAACAAAAACGTTTATGACAGCTCACTGAGTACGACGACCAGAGTAGGCATGGAAGGGAGAGGTGGCGTTAGAAAGGCTTAACTCACAGAACCATAGACGAATGAGGTGCAGATGGAAACGCCAGACAACGCTGTGTGGCGGCGCGATGCTTGCAAACGTTGGCCATACGGGAGACTGAAGGTTCGTCCGCGTTTGGATGAAACCCTTCCTCAACATACACTGTTGAACTCCTGCCCGCCAAAGCGGGCAGCTTCGCTACTTTGTGTGCGGCCCCACGAGTGTATGTAAATAGAGCCTGAATGAGACAAGAAAAGGGTGGCCGACACAAAAACACACCAAGCACGAACAGCACAAGGGGTCTACAAAAACAAAAACGTCCGCGCGATGTGAAAACATAACCATCACCAGCACACCAAACATCGCCAACAACGACGACTGCAAAATGACAGCTACATCCCCTTACTCGCCAAGCAATCTCAAGTCGCTTGGTAAGAGCCCTAGATACTCGAGTTTTTCTTTTTTGCTTCACTTCAAATCAGCGCTCACAGCACTATAATAATAGTGCCGTTTACTCCAACCCGTGGTCACACAGAAGAGCTCCTCTCTACCCTCCCCTCCTGCGGTACATTGCCTTCGATTTTTAATGCGAGAAGAGTTAAGCACTCTCTTCCCTCTGTGTACACACGAACTAGCTCTATCCACTAGGCCAGGAGCGGAAGCGAGAGAAAAACTCTTTTTGCAGGAAAAGCTCGCTTACGCCGGGATTCGAACCCCTGACCTGACCTCTAGAAGGTTTCGGGGGTACCAACAAGACCACCGGGGCGACCGCGAGTGCTAGTACGAGATCAAAGCAGCTCGGTGCACAACAAGCGGCATTTTCAGGAGCGATACCGGAGTCATGTTTGGTCGCGTGCCCGGTACCCACCGCTATTTGCTGAAAGCGCTTGTGGTGGGGCGTGAAGTGGGGATACTTATGGCCGCAAACAAACAAACCTGTCCGGGTCAACGTCGGCCAGTATCGGGAAGAGCTTCTCGAGCTGGGTGTAAGATGCCCAGAACTACACCGCACAAGGGGGAGACAGAGGGAGAGAGACAGACAGAGAGACAGAGAGACAGACAGAGAGACAGACAGACAATCAGAGAGAGAGCCACGAGAGACAGAGGTGACGCCAACAGAGGGGGACGAAAAGGATGGGGAGGGGGGGGGTGGACAAGACCAACAAGACCAACAGTCAGAGCTAGTTAGGTGTAGAGACGTAGGAGGGAATTCCGAGACAGCGAAGCATGTAGAGGCAATGAAGAGCGGCAGCAGGAGAGCAATTGCTATAACATTAGTTGGTCGCGGAGAAGAGGAAGATGGCTAATGAGGGGCACAGGGGTAAGAAACCAGCAGTGCACCGGCAAAGAGCAAGACGATGCCTTGGAACGAGGACTAGAGAGGCGGAATCGAGCATCCTTGTAGTGTCCCACACAGATCGCACGCCAGCAAAAGGAACAGAGGGAACGGTGGGTGGGGTATGGAGTGTCGACAAAACTGCAGTCATGACAACAAAAATAACAGTAATAACCACAATGACCACGACAACCCCTGTACAACGACGCGAACACCCCCCGACACACACTACAGACTTACAACCAACAACAAGAACAACAACGAAGGAGAAGCCGGAACGCACTTGGATGAGCAGGACCGGGATAGACCAGAAGATGGCACCCGCGGCCACCAACCAGGCGGCCACGTTCTGTCTGAGGTCGTTCTGAGAGAAGAGGAAGCAGGTCGGGAGGGACGTGGGGGTTAGCCGACTAATTACAGCCTCAAGTGTCTCGAAAGGGAAAAGGCGCAGGTGGGCCAGATGCGACAAGCAAACACAGACGAGTTCAGGGCGATACACCTGTTCCCCAAGCATACAGCAGACACGCGGCACTTGACTTGACCAACACGGAGAGTGTTCAAAGTCATGTGCGAAGTGCGGAATTTCGTATTTTCCTGGCCAAGTATGTGTTCGGGGGGATTGATGACGTGTCCATTCATGGTGCTAATCCCCCGCTTCCAAGGACGATCACACCGCTCTTAGGGGACAGTCAAACACTGCTGTTTGGTACAAGCACCGCTTGTAAAGGGAGGCGATTGGTTCACCCTTTTCTCATCGAACGCGATATCGAAAGATATTCACAGACAACATCTACGACAAACACCGCCAACACCCAACAAACGCATAGAACGACAACGACAACGACAACAGCAACAGCAACAGCAACAGCAACAGCAACAGCAACAGCAACAGCAACAGGTGACAGCAATAGCAACAGGTGACAGCAACAGCAACAGGTGACAGCAACAGCAACAACACCAACACAACAAACGACGAGATCAGCAATGATAACTTCTTGCCTGGGGTTGGGGCACCGCAATGTTCTTCCATACCACGTCTCGCGGGTCCGGCGCAGGCTCGCAGTCGCACCAGTCTGGCCGAGGCGCCAGCAGCACCTGTTTTGACCCGGGGCGATGTTTGGTACCAGATTGGTCGGGCGGCGTCGGCAGGCACGTGAAAAGGATGCGGCGGGAGAGACGAAGAAGTCAGAGGGAGAGTGGACAGAGAGAAGGGATAAGCGGTACGGAAGCGACGGAGCACAAAGGGCCGAAGACAGACAAACAGACAGACAGACAGACAGACAGACAGACAGACAGACAGACAGACAGACAGACAGACAGACACACAGACGGCAGCTCAGCAAATACACAAAGAGAATGGGGGGGGGGGGCATTGTACAACCGGCAGCGACCACATAAGTTCAGATGTATTATATCCACTCCTCACCTTCCTGTTATAAAACGCCCCGTACTGTCGCCACAACTCGCATTACACAAAACTCCTTTTCTTCGCACCCGTCGCACAAACCAACACACAGGACACACACACTGCCGTCCCCCCTTCCCTACCCCCCCACCTGTCTAGAAGACGCGCAAGCCGCCATTTGCCGGAAGGTGACGAAGCCGGTGGTGCTCATGCGCTGGCCTAAGGTGAGGTACAGGACACCGCGAGCGACCCTCCTCGTGGTGTGGAAGGCAGAGTTGCCCACGGACGCGAGGGAAGACAGCGCTTCCTGCGGGAAAGGCCAGGGAGGGAGGACAAAAGAAGGATGGGAGGGAAGGAGGGAGGACAAAAGAAGGATGGGAGGGAGGGAGGGAGGGAGGGAGGGAGGAAAGGAGAGAGAGAGAAGGGATGATGTGTGCAATGGGGGAAAGCGTGGAATGACCTGGAGGGGGTAGCCGCAACCAGAATGAGAGAGCACTAAGACACCTGAAAAGGACTGTAAGACCGGCTCTGGGCACACAGCAGTAGATATTTGTCGAATCCGTGGCCCCGTGTTCTCATACCCAACGTAATATGCGACGGTAATAACAGATGTCTCTTGTATTCTTCGAACTCGGTCATGCTGCCGTTTCCACCCCCACCAAAACGTAGCTGGGCAGACTTATCTGCCACACGAGCATGATGGCCACCACGCACGGCATCAATTCTCCTTCAACAAGAGCAATCCTCTTCCTCCTCTACCCTCCACGCCCCATCTCCTGCCCACCAGGCGGGTCATCACGGCTGCAGCAACTCCCATCTAACTAGGCTTTCAAAAGGCTTCACCATCGTCTACTCTTGAAGTCTATCCGGTCCTACGCATGTCAACACTAACGCATTCCCATCTAGGCCTTCACCATCGTCAACTGTCTATCTGGTCCTACGCATATCACCACTCATGCATTCCCATCTAGGACTTGACCGTCGTCTACTGTCTATCTGGTCCTACGAATATCAACACAAATGCACTCCCATTTAGGCCTTGACCATCGTCTTCTCTTGCAGTCTATCTGGTCCTATGTTACGCATAGCAACACCAACGCATGCCCCCCCGGGGAAGGGAGTGCCGCCACACCTTTGCCATCTCAGGGGCGGCCTCGATAAGGCCCGCTGCCCCGCCGGCAAGCGGCTGGTCCGTGTCCAAGGCGGACGTGGCTCCGGGACGAGGACCGGGCTTAAGCTCGTCGCCGCCTGAGCTCGGAGATTGGTTCATAGAACGTCTCCTCCTCGCCTCCAGCTCCTCTTCGATGCCGCTTAATGATTCGGCGCCCCCCCCCCCCTCGACGTCCAGGCTCGACGACCCCGTCCGCCCTGATGCATGCAAAAGGGGCGAGTACGGGAACCACGCAGAATGGATTAGGTTCATGTGAGCCCCCCCCCCCCC